ATATATACACCTCGGCTTGCTGCGGTATATGTTGAGGTATATATATATATATATATATATATTATGAGGTGTATTTAATATATGTTGATATATATATATATATATATATAATGAAGTGCATATGCTACAGGCTAGGGTAAATATATACCTCTATATCTCTCTCTATATATTATATATATTTTATGTTATCTATATATAATATATATTATATATCTATATATTATCTATATATATTATATATTATATATATAAAATATATATATGTTGGAGTGTATGTGCAGGTGCTGTTAGACGTGGATACGAAGCGTTTGCTGCGACTGCGGCGTCAGTTTGCTCCGCTGCAGATGAAGATGGTGTATACGGGTGCAACAGAAGTTATTTAATATATCTTTTGATTGCGTCTCTGTCTCTTTTGCTTCTTTTGTCTCCTCATCTCTTGTCTCTGTCTCTCTTCTACTTATTCAGCTGTCTCCGCGCTTCTTTCTGCTCTTTCTGTATCTCTCGCCGTCCCTTCTATCTCTTTATTTGTCTCTTCTGTCTCCTTTCTCTTTATATATATAAACTCTTCTGCTGTCTCCTTTCTATTGCTGCTGTCTCTCTTCTATTTTTATGTCTCTCTTTTGCTGTATCTCTTCTATTCTGCTGTCTCTCTTTTGCTGTCTCTCTTCTATTTTGCTGTCTCTCTCGCCTACTTTTTGTCTCCTTTATATCTTTTTACTGTCTCCTTTATATCTTTTGCTGTCTCCTGTCTAATTTTGCCCCCTCTCGCATTTTTTTTCGTCTTCTGTTTGCTGTCTCCTTTCTTCTTTTGGTGTCTTATTTATCTTTGTTGCTGTCTCTTCTCTGTTTTTGCTGTCTCCTTTGTGTCTTTCTGCTGCATGCGTTATATTATGCTGTCTCCTCTACTCTTTTGTCTCTTCTTTGCTGTCTCTTCTTGATGCTTGCTGCCTTCTTGTACACTCACAGCGCCCTTATTCTGCTGCTGCTGCTGTTGCTGCTGCTGCTACGAGCAGCAGCAGCAGCAGCAGCTGCTGCTGCTTCAGCAGCAACAGCAGCAACACTAGCAATATTAACTAGAAAAGGGGACGCCTCATTAGGGCCTGCTTCCTCTTTGCTTTTTTGAAGTGTGTCTCCCGCATCTGCACAAACAGACTGCTGCTGCTGCTGCTGCTGCTGCTGCTGCTGCAGCTGCAGGCGCAGTGTCGCAGCAGAGAGTACAAATAGCATGTGCTGCTATTGCAGTGTAATATCAGTCGCTAGTTTAGGGTTTAGGGTTTAGGGTTTAGAGCGATGATGCCTCTGCTGTTGCGGTTATCTGCTTAGTCGCCTCCGCGCTGTCTCTGCTATCTAAAAAATTGCTGCTGCTGCTGCTGGTACTGTTGCTGCTGCTGCTGCTGTTGCTGCTGTATAAGTGAGTGCTGCAGTTTGTTCTATGCCTTCCAAGAGAAGGAGACTCCTGCTGCTGCTGCAGCATTAGCAGCAGCCGCAGAAAAGAGCAGCAGCATTAGTAGCAACCGCAGCAACAGTAGGAGCAGCAACACAGCAGCTATAGCAATACCAGCCATAGCAGCAGCAACAACAGCAACAACAGCAACAACTGCAGCAGCTGCTGCTAGTTGCTGCTGCTTCTAGTTGCTGCTGCTGTGTGGGGTGTCTTCTATTTCTAGTAGAGACTGCTGCAGCTCTGCTAGGCGGCACTTCAACTTCTCCTTTATATGCTGAGGGGCCCGTTGGTAGAAGCTGCAGCAGCAGGAGACACAGCAGCAAGAGACAGGAGACAACTGCTGCAGCAGCAGGAGACACAGCAGCAAAAGACAGGGGACAGCTGCTGCAGCAGCAGGAGACACAGCAGCAGGGGAAAGGAGACAGCTGCTGCAGCAGCAGGAGACACAGCAGCAGAAGGAAATAGACAGCTGCAGCAGCAGGAGACACAGCAGCAACAAAAGAGGAGACAGCTGCTGCAGTAGCAGAACAGAGCTTCTGCTGCTGCAGCAGCAGGAAAAAGGAGACAGCTGCTTCACTGCCATTTGCTGCTGTCTCTTTCTGACTCTGTCTCCTCTCAACATACTCTGGTGCTGCTGTCCTCCGCTGCAAATCCTGCAGCTTGCGTTGCAGAGAAAGCCGACGGCGTGTACGTACACCTGAACTGCTGCTGCTGCTGCTGCTAGTGCTGCTGCTGCTGCTGCTAGTGCTGCTGCTGCTAGTGCTGCTGCTGCTGCTGCTGCTGCTGCTGTCTCCCTCGAAGCAAAGCGAAACATGAAGCTTCACTGCGCGATCTCCTCTCCCTCTGTTGCTATTTGTGCTGTCTCCCCGCAGCAAAAGAACTCGAGAGTCTAAGAAACCTTGCTGCTGCTGCTGCTGCTGCTGCTGCTGCTGCTGCTGCTTTGATGCTGTTACGGAGAAGCACTCAGGAGCCAAGCCGCACAAAGCTGCAATAAGAGGAACTGTCTCCTTTAGAGATTCTGCAACTGTCTCCTCGCTGCAGCAAACTGACACCGTGCATCGCTGCTGCTTCTGCTGCTGCTCTTGCTGCTGCTGGTCGTGCTGCAGTTGCTGCTGCTGTTCCCGTTGCTGCTGCTCCTGCTGCTCCTGCTGCTGCAGTTTGTAGCGTTTATGCAGCAAGCCTCGAACAGAGGAGACAGCAGCACGTAGCACCTTGAAGCTGTTTTCTGCTGCTGCGTCTCTGCAAGCTGAGGAGACACTCGGAAGCAGCAGAGGAGACAGCGGAGACAGATTAATTAAAATATAATATACAAAACGTCAATGCGAGGCAAAAGAACAAACAACAGCAGCAACAACAGAAATGAAAAATAAACAGAGAGATGAGAGGAGACAGAAGAAGGAGACACAAAGATTAGAGTGTCTCCGTTGCAGCTGCTGCTGCACTGAGGTGTACATACACCTGAATACTTACCCCCTAATGAAGGCCAAGGGCTGCATAACAGAGGGGTATAACCATCTGCTTCACTGCTGCTGTTGCTGCTGCTTTTGCTGCTGCTGCTGTTGCTGTTCGCGCTGCTGCTGCTGCTGTTCATCTTGTTGCTGCAGTTGCTGCTGCTTGCGTTACTGCCGCCGCTGCTGCTGTTGCTGCTGCTGCTGCTGCTGCTGCTGCTGCTGCTGCTGCAGGGTTGCAGCTGAGGTGGCGGTACACCTGAAGCGAGTGCTAAGTGAAGAGCATCGCTTACAAAGGGAGCAAACGGCTGCAGCAAACGAAGAAAAGCAGCAAATATCTTTCCTAATATTGCAAGCCATGCATAGCCCCGTTCTCTCATCCTGTTCTGCTGCAGCAACAGCTGCTGCTGTTGTTGCTGCTGCTGTTGTTGCTGCTGCTGCTGTTGCTGCTGCGGTTGATGCAGCTGCTGCCGTTGGTGCTGATGCTCGGGGTTCTGTTCCCGCTGCTGCTGCTTTTGATAGTGCTCGTGCTGCTGCATCTGCTGCTGGTCCAGCTGCTGCTGTTGCTGCTGCTGCTGCTGCTGCTGCTGTTTACATATATTTTCTGCTAGTTTGAACTCAGCTTGAGCAGCAGGAAGAATGCCTTCTGTGAATTCGACAGAGAACTCCCACAGCAGCGCAGCAGCAGCAGCGACATCTCCTTTGTTGAGGTGTATGTACACCTCATCACACGCCCTGCTGCTGCTGCTGCAGCCCAAACAACACGCAGCACCAGCAGCAGCACAACAAACGAACAGAGACAATAAACATCTCATGTCTGCAGCAAGGAGGAGACAGATGCAATGCCCTTCACCCTGTCTCCTCTGCTCTCAGAAGCAGCAGCAGAAACAGCAGCAGCAGCAGCAGCAACTGGGACAGCAGAAGCAGTAACTGCTGCTGCTGCTGCTGCAGCAGCAGTGGTGCATGCAGCAGCAAGCTTCCGACCCACCTCAGAGCAGCGCGCTGAGCAAGGGAGAGGGAACTGACGAAGGTGGGCGTACACTGCAACTCTGCTGCTGCTAGTGCTGCTGCTGCTGCTGCTGCTGCTTCGGCACAGCGGCTGCAATGCTGCGGCCTCTCGCGCAGCAGCAGTAGCAGCCTAAGAGACAGAAAATATCACAACCCCAGCAGATATACAAAGAGAGACAGATAAACAGAGACAGCTATTCTCATAGAACAAAGAGAGACAGCACCATCAGCGAAGCAGCAGATCGCAGCAGCAGCAGGTCGTAGCAGCAACAACAGACAGCTGCAGCAGCAGACAGCCGCAGCACACTGAGACGGCAGCAACAGCAACAGCAACCGCTAGCCAGATACAGCAACAGCAAACAGAGAGAAGACACAGCAACAACAACGGCAGCAGCAGCAGCAACACCAGCAGGACGTGACAGGATTAGCAGCAGCAAGCAAAGACAGCAACAAGCAAAGCAGCAGAAGAAGCAACAAATCCACAAACAGCAGCAGCAGCAGCAATCAAACAGCCTTAGCAGCAGCAGCAGCAATCAAGCAGCCTCAACAGCAGCAGCAGCAGCAGCAGCAGCAGCAGCAGCAGCAGCAGCAGCAGCAGCAGCAGCAATCACCTCGCTGCATTCCAAATTTTGATGATAAGGCGAGCGAAGCGCTGCGTTTGAATATTACAAATTGAAGTAAAGCGAGAGGAGGCAGCAGCAGCAGCAAGAGACAGCCTGCCAGCAGCAAATGAACAGCAAGACAAATTAGCTTCAAGGAAAATAATTACAAGAATAAAATAAACAAAGGAGACACAAAAAAAGACAGAGAAAGGAAGCAGAGAGACAGAGAAAGGAGACAGAATCAGCAGCAGCAGCATCAGCAGCAGAAGCATTAGCATCATCAGCATCAGGAGCAGCAGCATGAGCAGCAGCAGCAGCAGCAGCAGGAGCAGCATCAGCATCAGCATCATCAGCATCAGGAGCAGCAGCATGAGCAGCAGCAGGAGCAGGAGCAGCAGGAGCAACAGCAGCAGCAGCAGCAGCAGCAGCTACCTGAGTGCGTCAGTCCCATACTGAGTGGTCCATTGGTCCAGTTGGCCTTTAGGGGCGTTTGCCTTCGATTTGCTGAGTTTGCTGCCGCTGCTGTCTGTCAGCAGCGGGTGCAGCAGCAAACGATCAAAAGGAAGCTGCTGCAGCAGCGCAGCAGACAGCAGCAGCTGCCTATACACCCAAAATGATAAAATATCATTCCCAGTAACAACACAAGAATAAGGAAAGAAACGAGGGGCAAGAAACAGAGAAGGACCATTAACTGAATCAGGTTGTTGCTGCTGCTGCTCTTGCTGCTGCTGTTGCTGCTGCTGCTGCTGCTGGGGAGGGTTCTGGTGCTGCTGAGACTGATCCTGCTGCTGCTGCTGCTGCTGCTGCTGCTGAGGATCCTGCTGCTGCTGCCGCTGCTGCGGTTGCTGCGGCTGCGGAGCATCTGTTGCTGCCTGTCCCTTTCCCTTCTGTTCTTCTTCTTGCTGCTGCTGCTGCTGCTGCTGCTGCTGCTGCTGCTGCTGCTGCTGCTGCTGCTGCTGC